ACTTCAGTTGGACGTTCATCTAGCATTTTTTAAATGTTACATGGTTTAAAATGTTCAGAAAACATTCAAACGTAACATTCACATGTTTACAAAATGAATGTTCTTTAAACGTTCACATAACCAAGAAAAAATAACATTTAAAAAATATTAAAAGAATGTTCAGAAATAATGTTTTCATAACATAATGCGAATGTTAGTAAAACGTGTTTTGAACATATTTTTGTTTGTTGGTTACACTTCTCTGTACATTTAACTACTTGTTGCTCATTAACAATATACAGTATAGTAATATTCAGTAATATTACTGATTTAACTGCACTGTTGATATCGGATGAGACTCACAGGGTTATTATAATTAACTACAACTAAAGCTAAATATAAACTTTTACTTGAAATAAACTTTTACTAAAACAAAATATGAAAAAATTCTAATTTTCATTTAGTTTAGTTATCTTGATGTACTAAAATAACTAAAACTACAATAAAAATCAATAAAAACTATGAACATATTTAAAAAGCTACTAAAAATGAAACACATCATTTCTAAAATTGTAACTAAAATTAAAATGAAAATATAAAAATGAAAACAAAATCAAAATAAGAATAAAAACGAATAGTATCTCAATGATACTAAAATAACAGTTGATTTATTACCATATTGCTGCTGTATTTTGCTATTATTATGTTCATCTTATTTTAACATTTTTACCTACTATTTATACTTCATGCACAATCGAAGCAGCTGACCAGGTTTTACTGTGTATGTGACAAATACAAATCTTGAATCTTGATTGCGTGGTTAAAACTCCAAATGATCGATCAGTCGTTCACAGTAACCCTTACGAAAAAGAAGTTTATTCAAGTGTGCTATTAGTATACTTCTTTTAAACTAAAAAATAGGAAAGTATACTTTTAGTCTACTTTTTATGTACTTCTCAGAAATGGGCTTTATGTACTTCTCAGAAATATACTTAAAATGACATTTAAGTATACTTGACTTATACTTAGAAAAAGTCTAAATATATTTTTAGCTATAATTGTGCTCCTAGAATCCGTGATTTCATTGTTATACTGTAGGGGGCGCTAGTACACATCTTCTGTACAGAATTTCCAAAAAAACACAAGTGAAGAAGAAACGAAACAACAGATGCTTCCACATGTAATCTAACACGATCATCAGACATAAAACAGTATCAAAACTATGTAACATTATGGAATAAAATGTCGACCAATAAAGAGGTAATAATAACTGTCAAGCTTTGGGGTGTTGATCGACTTTACCTACGTTTTGATTATCAATAGTTTTACAATAATGAAAAGTAAAAACAGATAGCAAGATATAAATGACCTGCAGTCATATATGAAACACTAATACTATCCTCTGGGATTAATTATACATAAAATAATAAATAATATCAAGAGTGAATTTCTTTGTTCAGAACCCTTACGAAAAAGACGTTTATTCAAGTGTGCTATTAGTATACTTCTTTTAAACTAAAAATAGGAAAGTATACTTTTAGTCTACTTTTTATGTACTTCTCAGAAATGGGCTTTATGTACTTCTCAGAAATATACTTAAAATGACATTTAAGTATACTTGACTTATAGCCTACTTAGAAAAAGTCTAAATATATCTGAGCTATGCTTGTGTTCCTAGAATCCGTGTTTTCATTGTTATACTGTAGGGGGCGCTAGTACACATCTTCTGTGTAGAATTTCCAAAAAACACAAGTGAAGAAGAAACCGAAACAACAGATGCTTCCACATGTATTCTAACACGATCATCAGACATAAAACAGCATCAAAACTGTGTAAAGTTGATGTAATGTCGACCAATGAAGAGGTAATAATGACTGTCAAGCTTTGGGGTGTTGATCGACTTTATCTGCGTTTTGATTATCATTCTGAATCCAATTCATAGTCTTTTTTTCAGCTTTTTGTTCAAAATGTTGTTTATTTCTTTTTTTTGTATTATTTATGAAACTTACCTACATTCAAGTGTTTAAAAAAAGAATGCATGAAGCTAGAATAAAATGTTTTTGTTTACAAGCAGATACCCTGTTCTTTTGATGTTTTGTATGTTCAGATATTCATGTAACAAAATATATACGAATTAATACCTAAATAGGGACATAGTAGTATACTTAAAGTATGATGTAAAGTTCACTTAAAGAAAACTTACGAGTATACTTGCAGTATAAAACTACTAAACTAGTAGTTTACTAAGACTACTTCAAAGTGTACTAAAAATGCTACTACAAGTATTTAATTAGAAAACTATCAGTATTCATATGTTCACTTTTAGTATAGTTGCAGTACAAGCTGAAATATTGTTGTAAACTAGTTGTGTACTTAAAGTTTACTACTGTTATACTTAAAGTATACTTAAAAGTATACTTTTATATACTAGAAAGTGGGCCAATTTAGTCCCAAGGAGTATTGAAATAGTACACTTACAAGTATACTACTAGTACACTGATATTTGTATACTTGCTACATAAAGTATACTTAAAAACATACTTGAATTTACTTAAGTATACTTAATAAAATAAACTTGAAGTATACTACTTTTTGGTAAGGGAAGGTGTATACAATTTGAGCCGGTTTTGATCTCATGTTGGCCTTAAAACGATAGTTTTGAGTGCTTCAGTAGCAAATCACTTTCTAAAGGAAACTGGAGTGTTGCTTGCCTCTGCAAAACACTGTCAGCAATTGCAATGGTCTCTTTAAGATGAAAAACGTACTATGGTATTACATTTTTTGGACCGGGTACTATGATAACTGGATTACATATAGTGCATGTACTTTGTTATGTGAATGTAATAATGAATTACCGTATGATACCATCAGGGTAGATTATTGCAAACGCTGAACACTAATACCACTAATAAAAAAGAAACACAGCACACATGATATAGAAATAAGCAGTTTCTTCACAACAAAGTGTTATATTCTCCAAAGAAATGTTGAAAAGGGACAAAAGGAAAAAACGAAGCTGCATTTCAAAAGGTTTTGCTCGTTTCACAATAGTGGAGGTTGAGAACCGTGTCGAGTGTGTGAGTCTTTATCAGGTCCATGATTCTCCCATCTCCCATCCAGCAAACTGTGACATGAGCGCATCAGTCGGAAAGCTTGAATTCGCTGTAAATCTAGCGGAGAGAACGAGCGTGAAAGGCAGTGACCGGGCGAAGTCTCGTAAACCTGGAAATGTAAAGAGTCTGCTGAAGCTCTTCAGAGCGAGTCGCCGCCGGCAGAGGCTTCGCTTTCTTCACTTCCACTGCAGGAACCACAGTCAAACTTACTGAGCATCTGTCGACCCATTCACGCCATTCAATCGTGAACGGATCGCATTTGGATTCTTCATTGCGGAACAGTTTAAAAGTACTAGACCTGAAACAGACTCCACACAGGTTCAACACAAACAAGATCAATTGCATGCATCGTTACATTCAGAAATGTGTCAGAATGCAATGCACAAGATTGTAGACGGACATTAGCGTAAATCATCTTCTTCTATGGTCGACTACAGAAAAGAACTGAGCAGCTTAAGTTAGCCAACATGTTTATATCATATTCTGAATGGAATACTAAATAGAGATCAACTCATTGTTTTGTGATTTTATTTACATTACATGTCTGATAACTCAGCCAATATTTGACTTATTTTTATCTTATTTAATAATGTTTGAATATTTATTTCTAATTATCAAAAAGCAACAACTACAAGAACTACAAAATGCTACAAAATGCATTGTGATTATTTTTTAAATAATTTTTACAAAGGTATTTTGCATGTTTATATCAGTTACCTGAATGGAATTGGATCTGTCTGACAACTAAATCAATATTTATTATTTAAATATTATATTATTATTGTCAAAAAGCAGTAATAAAACAACCAGACAACAATAAAAATAAAATAATTAATAAAATATGAATAATGCATTTTATTTACAGCATATAGCATTGTATTTATGTAAAGCTGTTTTGCATGTTTATATCAACTGATATTGTTTTCTGATATTAATGATTTTTAAGTGCCTGATAACTGAAGCAATATTTATTATTTAAATATTAACACTGTCAAAAACAGAAATTAAATAATCAATCATTAAACTACAACAAACAAAACAAAACATAAAATGCACTATGAATATTTTATTAATTATTTTAATTTATGGCATATAGCATTATATTTATGCAATGATAATTTGCAGCTGTTGCCTTTTTGATATTAATTATTTTATGAAGTGTCTGATAATTGAAGCAAAATTTATTTAAATATTGAATTATTGTCAGAATAACAAAAGCAAGAAATATAACAATAAGTAATCATTAGAGTACAGTAAAAAACCTCAAATGCATTATTAATATTTTATTTTATTATACCATATTTATGCAAAGTCTAGATAGTTGCAAATATATTTTCTTTTCGTTTGGTGGGACTGTTATTCTTACATGCATTTATTAACACCAAAATTGTGTTCATTTTCTTGCGTCACGTCGGCAAAGCGTTCGAGTACTTGCGTAGAGTCTGTTTCCGGCCTTGAGGTTTTTTTTTACATTAAACATATCTGGCACTGATGAACAAAGTTGTACAGTGATGACGAGACAAACAACAGTAATAATAATAACAATAACAATAATATTAATAATAACAATACAAACTATCCACAACTTTAAAAAACAAACGAGTCTCATGCTGCGCTGTGAAAAACAAAAGTCCGTCCGTCGAGTCCAATCAGAAACCCCCTCATTCAGCTGCCCTCCTCCCAGGGCCGGATTTACCTCTTATCGTGACATAGGCAAAACTAATTTTTGGGCCCCCCGTCCCTATTAATATATGTGACCCTGGAGCACAAAACCAGTCATAAGGGTACATTTTCAAGACATTGTTCAGAAGATGTGTTTCTTACGCACCTCATCCCAAACCTTCCATTGCAAATTCCAAAATGCAATTTTAGAGCTAATAACAGAGGCTTGAGCCATTGATATGCAGTCTAATTATTAGAGAGAGCGAGATTAAGCACCCTCCAGACGGCTTCCACTGACAGGCTGGTTGGCGAACTGCTGTGGCTTCCTTCGGCCTCCACCAGCACCTCGCTCTGATTGGGCAGCGAGGGGTGCAGGAGGGCGGAGCCTGTGGAGGCGTTGGTGCAGGGCGGTAAGATGCGCGGGGGCGAGCGCTCTCCTCCTCCTCCTCCGGCTGGCATCATGGAGAACTGGTAGGATCCGGCGGCGCTGCTGTAGTACAGGTGATACGGGGACGAGCCGGGCTGGAAGGGGCCGGCCTGAGCCTGCGAGGAGCCCGCGGGGTACGCCGGGGGTAAGTACGTGTGATAGCGGCCCGCCGGGCTGCTCATGGCCGACATGCCGATGCCGATGGCGCTGGTGACGGGCGTGGGTGTGTATGTGAATGCTCCGGTGGGATACGGCATACGCGGGTCCGAGAAACGGCCGTCTGGGAGCGAGGGCAGCGATGGGAAGGAACGCTCCAGACCCATGCGAGGGTCAGTGAACGCCGTCAGATCTGGACCTGCAGGAACACAAAACACTCGATTGGTTATATAGTTAAAAAAACTCCTCTGGACAATTAAAGGGTTAGTTCACCCAAAGATGAAAATTCTGTCATTAATTACTCACCCTCGTGTCGTTCCAAACCCGTAAGACCTTCGTTCGTCTTCACAACACAAATTATGATATTTTTGATGAAATCCGAGAGCTCTCTGACCCTGCATAGACAGCAATGCAACTGCAATGTTCCCAGGTCCAGAAACATAGCAATTGCATCGATGAAATAGTCCCTGTGACATCAGGGGTTTAACCGTATGTTACGAAACTAAGAGAATACTTTTTGTGTGCAAAGAAAACAAAAATAACGACTTTATTCAACAATTCTTCTCCTCCTCATCCCTTATGCTGTGGCATGCCGCCGTTGTGGAGAGAGTATCACTTCCGCTTCACATAAACAATGCATGTCTGTGTTGACGTAAGCATCAGCACCATGCGGATGCGTTGTTTACATGAAGCGGAAGCGAGCACATGCGTCGTGATACTCTCTCCATAGATATGTATAGATGCCATTTGGAACCGTCAACTTGACATCATTCACCACAATAATAAATGAATATTCAAAGTCAAAGATATGCATGCGTATAACTTGCTGTGGTAGACGCACACAGTCAACTTGCGCTCGAGGGGTCGCAGACCGTTCCAAAAATGGCACATGGCTTACGTATTGCGGCCCATAGAAACAGTCGCTAATGAGGCATCTACGTATATATATCTATGACTCTCTAAACAATGGCGGTGCGCCACAGCATAAGGGATGAGGAGGAGAGGAATTGTTGAATAAGGTCGTTATTTTTGTTTTCTTTGCTCACAAAAAGTATTCTCATAGCTTCATAACATTACGGTTGAACCCCTGATGTCACATGGACTGTTTCACCGATGTCCTTGCTATGTTTCTGGACCTGGGAACATTGCAGTTGCGTTGCTGTCTATGCAGGGTCAGACAGCTCTCGGATTTCAACAAAAATAATATCTTAATTTGTGTTCCGAAGATGAACGAAGGTCTTACGGGTTTGGAACGACATGAGGGTGAGTAATTAATGACAGAATTTTCATTTTTGGGTGAACTATCCCTTTAAATGCAGGCCCAAATGAGTCAGTAGTCGTCGTTTAGTAAGAGTTCAGAGCTGAAAATGAACTAGAATTTACTAGAATTTAAACTAAATAAGTAAAAAAAAAAAAAAAAAAAAAAAATTAAAAAACTGTTACTTTACTTTTTTAAATGTTTATTTGCTCATATCCAGTTGGACATTTTAAGGTAGGTTTCTGGATATTATATACATACAATACTATTATAGTATATAAACAATACTAAAATAACATGGTAGGCAAATTTTGGTCTAGAACGGAAATTTAATCTAATGGTGAACCTTTGATTTAGTTATATGCAATTATTAATTATGTTAATTTATGGCATATACTGTTCTTTTGCATGTTTATATCAGCTACCTGAATGGAATACTGATTAGAGATCAACTAATGGTGTTTTCTAATATTAATAATTTATTAATTTATTAATCAGACACTTAATTTTATTAAGAGTTTGATAACTGAAGCAATATTTATTTAATTATTTAAATACTTATTTAATGTCAACTTATTTAATAAAACACATAATCATTGGAGTACAAGAATTACATTTTTTTTTTTAAAGTATTATTTCGATTTATCAAACCCCTCACAAAAAGTACCAGATAAGTGTCCCTGCAGCATGGTGGAACTCACAGTGTATAGCGCTGCGGCTGGGGGAGATGGGTGTGGTGGGGTGAACCGCTGGGGTGGAGATGGGACCCAGGTAAGGGTACGACTGCTCATACGACCAGGACGGAGACGTCTGCATCTGCCTAGAATCTGAAACCAAACATTCATATTCAATAAATGACTTTATGACCACTCCATTTCACTAGCAAATCCAAGATATACACTCAAAAGTACAGAAATATTATTAATGGCTACTGAGAACACAGACACACACACACACACACACACACACGTTTTATGCATTACAGTTTTTCAGTCCAGTAAACTCACATGTTCACATCCCTTAAAAACAGTGCAGTGTTGGTATCAGATGATAATATAATAAATGATTGCTATATTAATGCACTATGGTATTTACGCTATTGTTCAAAAGTCCCTTTTATGCTCACCAAGGCTGTATTTATGTGATCAGTAAAATACAGTAAAATTGTGAAATATTATTACTATTTAAAATAGCTGTTTTCTATGTGAATATCTGTTCAAATGTAATTTATTTCTGTGATCAAAGCTGTATTTTCAGCATCATTACTCCAGTCTTCAGTGTCACATGATCTTCAGAAATCATTCTAATATGCGGATTTGCTGCTCAAGAAACATTTCTGATTATTATCAATGTTGAAACAGTTGTGCTGCCATGATGCACTTAACCCTAATGTTATTAAAATTATTAACTGTATATTTTAATCATTACTAATACATAATTAAAATCAAATATTGAATTTGTTATATTATTATTTTTGTATTTAAATCATTGTTATTTATATTATTTAATATAATATTATTTATAATATTTAATGGACCTGTTAGTCAATGTTCAAAAGAACAGCGTTTATTTGAAATAGAAATCTTTTGTAACGTTATAAATGTCTCTACTGTCACTTTTGATAAATTTAATGCATCCTTGCTGAATAAAAGTATTCATTTCTTTAAAACGCTTTTGAATGGCAGGGTACATACCAATCAAAATCAGTAGAGTATTAAAACAGGATCTGTAATAAAGATAAACTCGAGGACACTGAATAATGGAGTGAGAGGAGCAGGAGGAGGAGAAGATATTCTCTCAGTATGAGTCTCTCTCTCTCTCCCCGCGGTCTAATAAATGCTCGCCGATGGCCTGCAGACTTCAGACAGAAGAGGAGGGAGAGCCATCAGAGAGGAAGCAAATTATGCACAGCGGCCAAAGAGTGCGCGGCCCGTTTCAAGTGCAGCCAGAGCGCGGCCCGCTGCCAGGCCCCCCAGAAACCCCCTCTTTTCCTGCCTCCCTCCCCAGACTCACGGCTTGTGATCTGGAGCAGGAGTCACACATGGCTGGGTGGGTGGCTGGAGGCGGATTCGGCATCCGGTGCAAGCGGGACTCATTTTTTACTGGGCTCACACACACACAGACACAGACACACACACACACACACACACACAC